TTTAGGATGATTGCTTCAAAAAAAGACATGGAGAAGAAGTGATTGCTTTTTGGTTTGTTTAGCCTTTGCGCTTTAGGAATTTGAACCTATACAAGGAAATTTCCTATGCTGAAACCGTTTACATGTTCCAGTCTTGAAAACTGACAGCATGGTTGTACTGTCTAGTGTGGGCAGGGCAGGATTAATTCCAAATGGTTGTAAAAAACTGGCGTTGGAGGGTTTAATTTTTTTGAAGCTGGTTGGGGGTGGCAGGGCATTTTTTGTTCATTCATCCTCATTTATAACATTTCCTGAAAAGCTTTCTGAAATTTAAGCTTGGAATTTTAATAACTGAAGTTTTCAAAGGTGGAAAGAAACAGAATGACCTCATACCAAGAATTTTCCTGAAAGAATACCTAGAAATGTCATTCCAAAAGTATCTACTTTTCTTTGCACCACTAACAATATTTTTTGTTCTTAATACGTTATAAACAATGATATTCACTAATTTATTGATTCACAGTAATATCCTGCTTCTCATCCTGGTTTTTCCAGCTGTGTTTCAGACTGTCCAAATAGGCATAAAGGCTGAAAATGCCATCTTCCTATGAGTAGTTCTACTTGTGTGAATTATCTTGTTGAAGATATTGGATATTACTTTATAACTGAAGAGTCTGCTGCTACAAACAATATAGAGATATATATAAAGCATAGCCATTTCTAGTGTGTTCATAGTAAATTCACAAATAATGTTGAAAACCATAGTTACAGCAGTTCTAGTGTAAAGCAAACATAAATCTAACCCTAGTGAAATGAGCACCAAAAGCTCAAGTAAATACTTCAGTTGTTGTAGTCTGCCAATTTGTAAAAAGTATGTTAATCTAAAAACAAACTAGCAAAATGTTTTCTAGATCCTAAATGAAAATGCTTTAGCCCTTCAACTGCCAAAGGCCATGTTGAAAAATGTTTAATTTGAACTTGTCTTCCTTCTATCGCAAATGAAATCCATAATATGGACTAAAATACACAGATACACTATAGTGCAACTAATGTACATGACTTTTCTGTTAAATTTCCTTTCAATAGAAGCTTATATTCTGATGAACACGTTGTAATCTACAAAACCAGCCTATATTTGGATTGTGCAGTTCCCTTGACCTTTATGTAAACATCCATTGACAGTCAGTGAAAGTTTCAGAAGTGCAATGTGATTCCCATCATATACCTTAGATCCTTAGATTTTTTCTTCTATACATTTCTGTTGCCATGGATTATGATAAAACTGGTGTCTTTACCTTTCGTTGCTAATTACCATTGGAAATACTTTGCCATGCAAAGTAAGACAGTGTTCTGCAATAACTTATGACAGTGAACTCTTGAATACAATACATGGTGTGTTGTTGTTTTTTTCAGCTGAGCAAAGTTTTGGACATTTTTATTAGCATGAATGAGGATTTAACTTTTCCTCTAGTTTTCTTCTATTTACTGTCTTACTCCATTATGTATAAAGTCAGTTTTATTTATTTACATAATATTTTTCACAGGTGGGTCTGAAGTAGATGGAAACATTTTATTTGGTTCTACTACCTTGAGAGGCAGAGCTAGTCATGACATAATTCTAAATATATGAGATGTCATTGCTTAATGAAAGCTTGAAAATGCCACAAGAATATGATTCCTTGCTCTAAATTGTGATCAGTTCAGGCAATCAAGATTAAATTTGAAACCAGGATACAGTAGGAATTAAATTTCACAAGAATTCTGTGTATACCTCTTCGTTTTAGTCATGCATACTTTTGTGTAGTAGAAGTAAAAGAATTATCCTCTGCTTTATTTAAGTGAATGTGCATTTTAGCTCAAGTAAACAAAAAATAGCAAATTTAGGTTCATACTGAATCTGGGTTACAAATATTTCTATGATTTTGTTAATGGATAATAATATTAATACCAAATACATGTGATAAAAACAAAAAACTAGCAGCCTGGTCTGGATAATCATAATGGATAGTATGGCTTTGTATAATTCTGTTCTGTGTAATCCAAAACAATGTAGAATGCTAGTTATACCTTTTCTGACAGAAGTACTAGGCATTTTTCCCCCCAGGATCAGCACATGGGAGCTAGTCTCAAAGGATGGTCAAATTATGCCAGGGAAGGCATAAAGGTAGGCTTGGCTATAGTGAAGTATCTCTGCCTCCATGCATAGAGGTATCACTGGACAGATGGCTACCTCCACTTTTCTCTACTTCATTAGCTATCTGGACCAACTCCAGTGATAAGTATTATGAGAATGACCAGTCATTTTTTCCTTTATCAGTTCCTATCTCAGTTTGGTCTCGATGATGAGGAGGGAAGCAATATGCCTTGAGAGCATGATTGCTGTTATTCCACATTCCATTATAATCAAATATGAGATAAGATGAGTCCAAGAAATGTCTTGTAAACCTGTGCTCTGGAGGACTTTTAGAAAGCTCAAAGACCTTGATAGAAGCTGAAATTCTGTGTGTGAGAATGATAGGCTTTATAAATTGAAAATGAAGAATGATACGTGTAGTGGGCAGGTAGAATGTTTTAATGCTTGTTTGATAAGAAATGTTTTTATTTGCTGAAATTGTCATTGAGAGATCTGGTATCATTGTTCGCAATCTAGAGATGGAATTGGAGAGAATCTTGCTTCTATAAAAATTGCAAAATATGACATTCAAAGTATAGCATAGCAGCAGGGACACTATCCAGATGGCAAAAGGTGACAGGTTTTGTATCAACAACAGGCAAAGACAAAATAAAAAGAGGGAAGAGAGGGTCTTAGTGAAAACCCTCAGTGCCTATTAAGGATGAAATGGTAATCGCTTTTTGGTGGGAATCAGTACATTTGCATAAATATGTTTATTACAAGTAGTAGTTTTCTTTCTCCTGCAGTATTCCAGCCATTCACAGCAAATTATATTGATTAACATTTCCATTGGACATAAATGTTATCATACATATATCACTTATTTACAGAGGATTGTTTTCACTTGCTAAAGCATTTAGCATTTGAGTGCTGTGCTCATTCTGCTCGTCCCACATTCCTTTCCCCCTTTCCCTTTTAACAGTACTCAGAAGCTCTTAAGACTGCAGAACTCATCAGGACAAGAGCAGTACCCTTTTGGAACTATTACTTCTGTAAATCATTAACACACACATACATTTTGTTATCTGTCAGAACACAAACTCTCTTTTGGTGTTGTACATATTGTACTAAGAAGCTTACAGGTCAAGTCTCCAGTAAGACATAGGGATCTCTGCCAACCTGCTTTCCCATGGTATGAATTGTTTTACTTGCATGCAGTATTTGTTTCATGACTGCCTTGCTTGATCTTCCTCCCCTGTGACTAATGTAGTATTGCTATCAGAACTATAGGCAATTTAAGGTGAACATTTAGCTTTGACGGCTGATCTTAAGGAAATCAACAGTGTACCTCTGTTGACACCCAACTGTGTATCTTTAACTCACCCAACTCAAATGATGCAGCTCAACATCTTAGCTAAAACAAGTTAAGACGTGGCTGTGGTGAAAGTGAGCTAGGTGAAACTCAACCTAGGCAAGATTTAGATGACAACAGTGTATTGGACTGAATATATCTTATAAATGTAATATCAGCCTTTTGGACTGTGTAAGTTAATTGACCATGTGTTATCAGGATCTATAATTTGGGGGTGATTTGTGCAGTCAGTTGTCTTTCGCTTGCTTGGCTAGAAGACTACATGCTTTTTTCAGATGCTAATCTTGCCATGACTACTCAGGCCATTGATACTTTAAGATTAAATTATTTCAGTGTGTTATTTCAATATGTTACTATTCAGAAAAAAACTGATTCACAAAGTAGTGACACTTGCCTCATGAGTGGGGCATGTTGCTTACTGAATGGGAAAAACATGACACCCATACTCCTGGAACTGTACAGACTTACCTTAGGTCTTCAGGTGGAGCTTAAGGATTTGGTCATGACCTATGAAGCTCTAGATGGCTTTAGAACTGTTTTTCTTAGAGACTGCCCTATCCCTGTGCTATGCGGATGCACCTGTGTCTAACAGATGCAGAGCTGGATCTCCAGCATAACGAAAGAAAGAGAGCTACTGGGGGGGGGCAGATTCTTTGAGGGCTCTAAGCCTAAGGCACAAAATAACTCCATTTCCTTCAAAATTAAAAGGAAATTTTTCAATATGGTAGGAAAAAAATGTACCTTGGCTGATTCTCCATATCTGTGTTGTTAATTAACCATTCCCTGTGCACCATATTAAATATTTATTTTTCAACTTAAATTGCTAGGATTCAGAATGTCTGTTTGATGTTTTATATTTAGAATTTTCCAAAAATTCCAGATTGACAAACATTTTGCATTTAAAATGATAGAATGTAGATATTTAATCTTCATTTTTATGAACAAATTGTGCTCACATAAAAAATGACATCTATAATTCTGAGATTGGTTTAAAATTGTATATACAGAATTAGAGGCTGCTTTTAATCTAAAAGCAGGCATAATCACAGATCTTCTGGGGTTTAATTTTGTTTATTTATGACTGTGTGTAGTATAAATATATCTAAAGATATATCTATATAATGAATCGAGGTACATGAGATGTGATTGAAAGGAACTGAGGTCTTATGACACAAACAATCTTAGGTTGTGATTCAATACAAAACAGAAAATACTAAAGTTACATTTTTAATAAAGGCAGCAATGATCTTTGTAAGTCAAACTTTCTTTGCTTAACGTGCAATTTCATTATTAAAAGGTAAAGTAAAAGAGCATTTATTAAAAAAGGAAGTATGACCCTTGATTTCAAAATAACTGAGTGCTAAACCTTTAAAAACATTTTATAGACTGAGCTTATTGAAGTATTAGAAATGCATACTATTAAGGAGCTAACATACATATTAGCGAAATTTTATCTGTTATATACTGTATAAGTTATGTACTAATATCGATGCTGTTGACTTTTTCATTTCCATAGAAACCCTTGACTTTGAGCTTTTGTTAGATCAAACATAAACCTTAGGATAGGTTGTATTGCTTTTAAATAATTCTATTCTTCTCAGTCACAGAGATCTCAAAGGGTGGATTTAGGCAATTTCTAATTTGTCCCAAGGGACTAGTGAAGTGAGGCTTTACAAGGCTGTTTTTCGCTTATGAGGCCTTAAAAAAATTCAGAAACCTCATACCTTCATCTCATTTTCATCGAATGTAGAGGCTGTGATATAACTATTGTGTTTGCAAATCTGGCAGATATTAAGATTCCAATAAAAGCAAGAAAGATCAAACTCAACACAGGTGAGGTGGGTGGGTTGCTAGAAGAATCTAGAATATAATGAAGAAGGACTTTGTTATAAAGGTTCATAGTTTCAAATTGCTTTTACACTTTCTGGTTCTGGAATCCAAGCTCATATCAGACACCAATAGTGCCCGTTTCCGTTTCTTTTCTGGGGAGGTGCTTGTGGCGATTTACCTCAGATTTGGACTTGACCACCATAATCAATGGACTGCCGCAATGCAGCATACACAAGACTACCCTTGAAGACCACTCAGAAGCTCCAGTTGGTGCAGAATGAGGTTGTCTGATTGCTGGGCGGGGTCAGGGGGAGGGGAGTGCTTCTTTCTTCAGTTCTTGACTGATGCAAGCTTCCTATTGGCTCTTCTATGTTATTCTAGCTGGGTTGGTCTGTAAACTTCTATAAGACTTGGGTTCATTATATCTCAGAGACCATCTCTCTTCTACTGTCATGGTGCTTGAAACCAGGTGAGGTACTTGAACTAATACAAGATACAATGGGAAGGTACAATGGAGATTGTATCCTGTTGTGCATGTGTACGTGCAAATGACTGTATAATTTGTAGGGAATAATTGATACAGTTTTCTTTAGAAGCTTTTCACATTTGCACAATATTCACAGGCAGATAATGATTACTTCAAGTTGTTTCGAATTTTGTTTTGAAATGTTTTTACTCTATGGACTGATTGCGAATGGAACACTGTGAGTATTTGACATTCAAACTATGTTGGCCTCATGGTTATATTGCATGGTAGTGGATGAATGTAACTTGTATGTACAATTATTGACTTAAAGAAGCCTTATGGCTATGATCTTTTTTGAAAAATTAACAGCTTGGAGAAATTTTGCAGGTATATAGGATTTTAAAACCTGTAGCATGTTTTTTAAATTTTTCCTTTCTAGGTTAGATCCAATTTGTCATTGCTAGAAAAAAATGCATATTTTTGGTTTATTGTTGAAGCACAGACTCTTTTGCATGTTCAGCCAAAAGGATGGGGATAGCATATATACAAGAGGTGGGCTTTGCCATCTTAAAATAGCTTTGCCTCCTATATAAATAACTTCTAATGAGATTTATTTGAACATACAACTTCTAAGTTTGCAGCATGGGGTTTCATCTTTGCCCCTATAATTTGTACAAATGGATAATAAATACAATTTTTCATATAGGGTATAAATACTACATTAGAATATAAAACACTGTAAAGGGAAAATATTCTGTCTTTTCTGGCAATACAGGTGACATTCCTTCATTAAAGAGCCTGTGTTTTTTTCTCCTTCTGAGTCCCTTAAAACAAAACAGCTAAAAGTTTAATATGGTTTTCCTACATCTGTCATATCTATTAATTATTTTGTTGTTTGCTTCTTAAGGTACATCTTCCCAAGTGTAGGCATGTAGGTCATAGTGGGTAGCTGTGGAAAGCAAACCTTCTCTTTAGCGTGGAGGGATAATTGCAAGTAGAGTTATGGGCTCCCTCCAAATAACTCCTCTTTCAGCTTCAGGATGTGGCTGGGTAGACAAGCAATGATGTGAAGAAATGAGAATCTAAGACAGAACAGGCTTTAGTAAAAGTTAGTCACCTATATTACATACCCAGAATCCAAGACAAGCTTGTAATGCCTGCTACACAGAAACCTGTGGTTGTGGGCATGTCTGCATGTGCATTAATGTGCCTTTGCTTCTGTGCATTATGTTTAGTACCGCTAATATGAGGTACTACATAAATGCGCAATAGCCAATGCTAATGTGCAGTAGCAGAGGCACATGGACTTTTTGTGAAACTGTGCATTAGTACATTAGCACAGTTTTTGCCATGATGCGCTAATGTGCAGTAGAGTTAGTCTACTATACATTAAGTGTCTTATGTAGATGTGCCCTGTGACTACCTCGTTAGCTTTGGGTATGCAAGATACCTAGGTTAACACTAGAAAAGGAAGGTCTATACATGTTAATGTCATACCTCTTACTGCAGAGTAGACATGTCTTTAATGGAGTACTAGCTTGGACCCCACCTCCAGCTCATTGATATTCTCAGGCTCATAGAGTAGTTGGCAGTGTCATATGGGGGATGATTAGCCTCACTCAGGTTACCTCAGTCATAGCAGGCAATGCCGCATTGCGGCAAATGGATGCATGGCAACAGCTGGCACAGTGCGAGACATGGAGAAGACTGAAAATGTTAACAAGCAAAACCAGTCGTAAGATTAGAGAAGAGGTACACAGAACATTTTTTATCAACCTTTTCCATTCCCAGAAGGATAACTCGTTTCAGTCTACTATAGTCATATCCAGGGGTCCTGGTTTTCTCTGTTTAAAAATAGCAAATTCTCTGATAAAAATCGCAAGTTCTCGGATTAGAACCCTCCAAAAACCATGATTAAAATGAAATATCATTATAGGTATCAATTGAACATGTGTTAATGATATATTTACAATCTTAAAGCAATTTACAAGCCTACCAGTGCCTCAATCACTATAATAAATTCGAAGTATCTATACATTTTGGTATTTGATTTTTGGTATTTTACCATAGAAAATCAGAGCTCCCCCTGCCCCCTTTGCTCACCAGGATGCAGGTCTAGGCACCTCACTCCCCACCCACAGCCCCACAGCCCTACTGCTGCCCCTCATTCCCCACCCACAGCCTCCCAACCCTCCTGGTGCCCCTCACTTCCCATCCACAGCCCCCTCAACCCCCAGCCCTGCCGGAGGGGGCTCCCAACTGCCAGGGCTACATGGCCAGTCCAGTCCCAGGTCCACAGCCCCTTGCCCCCCCCAGCAGCACCCGAGCCTCTACTGCCACCTTTGGGAGGCAGCAGCTGCTGCAGCAGAGCATGGAGCATAGCTCCCCCTGTCCCATGAGCAGCATGGTTGGAGCGGAGCCCATGGGGGGATGGGGGCAGGTGTGAGCTGCCCACTATGGGCTTCGACTCCCTGCACTGCTGCCCTCCCCTTGAGGCCTCCACAGCCCAGTGGGCAGGACCCAG